GTTGTGGCGTGGGAGGGAAGGTCTGTCCGAGGGAGGAGCGGAGGGCGGGAGGGGAAGGGCCTGGCCGGGCTGTGCTGAGGGAACAGGCCGCGGCTCCTCGTCCTGCAGCCCCAGGGGGTCCTGACATCCTGAAATCCGTGTTAAATTCCCCAATATGCCTTTGGGAACGCGTGTCGTACCCTATTTCACATTCCCGCGCTCTGTGGCATCAGCTGTCACTTCCCCGTTGGATGCTGCTCATGCCTTGGGGCTTCCAGCTGTGGTACCTGTGGAACAGAAGGCGTTTTAACTCCACGTTTTTGAGTCTCTCTTGATTTAGAGTTTGGGATAAAAAGAAACCAGCCCTGGTGCATGTGGCTTGCCTGGACATACAGCCCTTGCCTGTGTGTCCGCTGCAAAATGTGTCCAGAGGAAACAAAAAAAGAGGAGTAAGAGGCAGCTCATCAGGTGCAAAGTTTCACAGCAGCTCTGGATCTGCCACAGTGCCTTGTTTACTTTTACTATTTAATGGCTTGAAATTTGTAAGGGTTGTTTTTGCTCAATTTACCAATGATAAAAGGATGTGAAGTAACTGAAGTGATTTGCATTGTGTTTTATTTGCCAGTTCTTAAAGAGACAAAAAAAAAAAGTTGGGGTTCAGGACTATATCCAAGAATAACATCTCTTAATCTGTTTGCAGCTTAAAAGATGAGATCACGTCTGAGAAACTGTTAGGGGTGAAGTTGTGGATTACAGCAGGACCAAGAGAAAAGTTCAGTGCTGCTGAGGTAAGAAGCTACGAAGTGTTTGCAAAGAAACCACACTTTAAGAGCAGCACAGAAGACTTTGCAATAGAACTGTTTTATATTAATTTACACAAGTTGAAATTAGAATGCATTTCTGGTGGGATCAAGTTCACTGCAGGTACTCAGGATCATTTTCCCTATCTCAGTAGAACTTCCTGGAGTTGTGTGTGTAGCTTCTTTCACAAGTACTTTTTTTTTTTTTTTGATCTTTGTCTTCTAGTTTTCAGTTCTGAAGACATTCCTGGAGGATGGTGGAGCCATCCTGGTGATGCTAAGAGAAGGTGGAGAGTCCCGATCTGGCACAAATATTAACTTTTTGCTGGAAGAATATGGCATCGTTTTCAACAATGGTAATGGGGCTCATGGGTAGCTTTAATTCTCCCATTTTCAGCAAGATCTAAAGAGCATGTTCAGCCTTTGTTGGTATAATCCAAGCAGATCCCTCTCTCAAATTACCTTTGGGCCTAAGGGATGTTTTTTCTTGAAATCTACATGTACATGACAGTGTAATACTGAAGCATCAAGTGCTTTCCATGGACACAGTACCTTGATAACAACTCAGCCATCTCCACTATTTTGCTGTAGTTGTCAGTTTTCATGTTATTTACTAACAAAAAAATAATTCCAGTGACATTTCTGGGTTAAAAAGCATTTAATTTCACACATATTTTCCAGACATTTTAGTGGTTGAATCACTTTATACTCACCCCAAATAAACTGACACTTCACTTTATTTAGCAGGCCAATAAAGTGCCACTCATTTGGTTTTGTCCTGCCAATGTGAAAATCTCCAGCTGTGTTTCAATGTACATAAAATATTTTTAAGGACTTTGGTGGCATTTCTAGACTCTGCCTTTTTTTGGAATCAACTATTACACTCGTGGTTTTGGAGCATGTATAAAAAAAGAAATTGAACTTGTAAAATTTTGTACATATTCTATTAACTGGATCATCTTTTTTCATCTGCTTTGCTGAAGGCATTGAGGAGTGCTTATTTTCATCTTTTAATTTGAATTTGCAAATATATGCTATTTTAATATCTAGGTATCTAAAGGGAAACAATAGTGAATGTTGATTTGAATTCTTTTGGGAGCCACATGCCAAGCTTTGTGGTGGTAGAAGCAAACACCCAGGGAATCCAAGAGCTAAATTGATTTTTCATTGCTATGAATGATCAACACTCTGATGTAAATGTATCATATTTTTTCTCTTTCATCAAGATGCTGTAGTACGAAACGTGTATTACAAGTACCACCACCCAAAAGAAGCACTTATCTCTGATGGAGTTTTGAATAGGTAAATATTTGGGGTATGTAAGTCTTTACATTAAGCTCTGTATAATCCCTAGTGTTTTCAGTAAGTTTTGCTCTTGCAGGGGAATCAGTGAAGCTGCAAGAACACCCCTGCTTGAGACAGCAGATGAAGATGGAAGTGGACGTAACTCACAGTAAGTCTTTTATTTGGAGGAAGCTGATGTGAAAAGATGTAGAATAACTTGGAATGAGCAGGTTTGCAATCTAGCAGGAGTGTGTTAGGCTTGTATTTTGGTTTTCTAATGTGTTTCTTATGTCAGTTTCTTACTCCTCAAACTTATATCTGGAGAGGCGAGTGTGTAAGTAATGCTTGATAACCAGTGAAGGAGCAGGAGGGATAAGTTTTGAAGGTAATAATTACTCTTCTGCTCAGATCTTTTTTGCCCCTAGTCTGTGGATTTGAATTTGATTAATTATTTTGAGTAAACTCTAGACAACAGGGTGTTTGGCTACTGGCATGAGCAGCCCTACATCTTTGTAAAGTGACTCAATCCAGGGTAAGATAGATATTTATTGTAATTTTTGGCTTTTCATCCCTCTGAGCTGCAGAGGAGTGAAGCAGCATTGGAAAGAATGCAGCTTTTCTGTAAATAACTATAAATGTTTGTATTCTTTCTTACAGCTAGTTTTTAGACTAATAAATGACCATGTGGTTGATTGATTGCAATATAAAATGTAAGTGTAAAAACACTTCATGTAGTTTTGTTCCGGAATATATATTCATCTGTGAATTAAATGCCCCTACCCTTCTCCCAAGTACAGAACTGTGCAAACAGATACCAGGAGTGTTCTCTGATCCTTATTTAAGAAAAATTGTCAGCCTGGAAAAATCTCTAGAAAGAGACAGACGTGCCATTATAATGATCTGAATGTTCAAAACG